AGGCAAAACACTCAAGTACTCAGCTTGTTAAATATCTTTGCCTCCAACATTCTTTCCAATTATCCATCACTACCAGCAGCAAACTGTACTGAATTTAGGTTCTGACAGATTTAAGCAAAAAAGCACTTGGTTTGGACTCAGAAGATCAGAGTTGAATCCTGACCAGTCACATTTATTAGTTTTGTGTTCTTGGTCGTGTTATACCTTCCCTGAGATATATATCACCTGTAAAACATTTCATCTGTAATAGAGGAATGAGAGATTCACAGAGATGCTAAGAAGATTAATTAAGGCAACATCTGTAAAGTTCCTGGAACATAGGAAGCACTGAATCAGTGTGAGTTCCTCTGATGTCAAAGTAATGCATAAAAACCCACCAGATTGAGACTGAAGGGCTATGCTGTCCAAAATGGTAGCTACCAGCAACAAGTGGCTAAATTTTTTTTTTTTGCCATACCATGTGGCATGTCGGATTTTAGTTCCCAATCAGGGATCCAACCCCAGCCTTGGAAGTATGGAGTCTTAACCACTGGAAGGCTAGGGAAGTTTCAGGGGGCTACTGAGACTGTTATCGAAACTAAGTAATCTTTAAAATTAAGTTTTCAGTGCTTAATAGCCTCATGTGGCTAGTAGCCATACTGGATAGCACCAATACTTACCATCACCATCATCAGAGAAGTTCTACTGAACTAGATGCACTAGAAGTGATAGAATTCAAGGAAAACCAGAAGCCCAGAAGCCTAAATCCTTGTCACTATGTAATTTTAGCAGAGCAACTTTATCTCACTATGCTACTGTTCCTCAAGATAGAATGTAATAATGCCTTTACAGCAACATTGCAGAGATGAGGTGCACTGAAATAATTTTTCTTTGCTTTCTTACCATCTTCCCAGGACCCCAAGATTAAATTATGCACAAAAATTAGCAAGGACCACTTTGAGTATGAGTCAATAGATACAGCTCTTTGGGAGTTCAATATTCACAGCCATGATTTGAAGTTATTCCAACACACCTGTAAGTAGTTAAGAATAGCGTATTTCAGAAGCACACCTAGCTATGTGCAGGCACTTCTTGGGGTGATGGAAAGAAACAAAGTAACACAGTTAAAAAGGTGTTCATTGGCAAATGTCCTTTCTAGACAAATCAATTTTCACTGGCTTTAAAATGTAAAGGTCAGAGATCCTATTTTCTACTTATTTGTTTCATTTTAATGCCTTAATCTGCCTTTCCCAGATTTAGAAACAATAATCTGGGCTGTCATTGTGAGGATAATACTGTAATTTTTTTTTTTAATACAGAGAAGGTGTTGACAATTTTTTCTGTAAAGGCCCAGAGTAAATGGTCTAGGGCCATAAATTTTCTATTATAGTTACTTAATTCTGCTGGTGTAGCATGAAAATCACCACAGAATGTAAATAAATGGCATGGTTGTGTCAATAAAACTATATAGTCCCTCAGGCCTACATTTGCCAACTTCATATGTAGAAGGAATGGAAGAACATAGCTTTTCCTGCTCTTCTTCACAGTATTTTTTACATGATATGATTTTTTCATTTATTTTATTTGAACATACACTGTATCCTACAAATAATCAGCTTTAAATGTTTAATTTAGAAATGGCAAAACATTTTTTCTTCTCATTTTTATTAAGACATTGAATATAAATAATATAATTCTTTAGGATGATACTTTTATTTTCATGCTGATAGCAAACTGAGAAGGATGGTCATAGTATATAAATTGTAAAATAACAAATTAAGTGATTCACAGATCTAATAAGGTCATTCAAAGTTTCCTACCTATTTTACTAATTCATGAGTTGAATTAAAACTTAAACAGGAAACCAAAATTGAGCTGAGAGCCTCAATGCCATTACTTCTTAAGTTCACATTACTGTTCTACACAAATAAATCAAGGTCAAATACTTAGATGACTCAAGCAGCATCTATTCAAAAAACCTGGTAACTTGTATGCATAGGTTAAGAATGGACTGCCAAGAAATGATGAGAAATTAGTAAAATAAAATCATGACATTTCAGAGCTGGAAGAGCCCTTATACAACAGCTTGTTCAACATCACTGCTCTACGGATGATGAGTGTGGTAATCTTTTATTTTTCCTTTCCAGAATACACTGTTTCTTCTCATGAGATCCCCAGGTTTCTTATGGAAACTTCCTCTTCTTACTCTCAGCTCTGGAAGTTTGAATGAGGGTAGTCTCGTTATCAGGCCAACAAGTGGGGATTTAACCCAGAGAGGACTCATCAGAACCCTATAAACGCTTTTGACCAGAGGACTGGTTCAGAGGTAAGTTTCTGACCTAAAGTCGTCATCTAAATTCTGGGATGTTTCTTAGAATTGCCAGGAGAGAACCAACCTTCCTTCTTTCCTTCCCTTTTCCTTCTCCCTTCCTCTTCCCTTCCCTTCCTTTCATCCTTTACTCTTTCCTGCCCCCTGCCCCATTCTTTCTCTCTTACAGATGCAAACTTTTGAGAATACCTACCTGGGATGGCCAGCAGTCCTTTTGCCACCTTGTGGAAATGGCCCACCTGAGAATGAACCCAACACAGAGACTATCATCTCTGAGATGCAGAGTTCACATTCCGAGGCTCTGAGTTTCTGGATCTAGCCTTAACTGTAGCTGAAAATGTCTGCCTTTTGTAATTACAAGAACAAAACTATCCTCCCCCTCTCAGCCTTTTCTCTTAAGCTTGAGTTGGTTTTTGCCACTGCAAAAGAGATTATACAAATACAAGAGGTTGTTCAGCCCAAAGAAGTGAACGTTGGTAAGTGGGAAGGTCAGGACTTCAATCCCCTCTAAATCTGAAGCTGGTTCTACAAGACTGACAGGGTAGACTAGCAAACCCATTAAAATCCTACATGCAAAGCAGTCTGGGTAAAAGGTGTGTATTCTCTTTACGCTTCTTTGAGTACTGTATTTAGACTCTCACTTCCTTTCATAGATACTCTTGTTTAGGATAGGGCCATGTAAAACAAATACTGATCAGATTTAAAGGAAATTACTTTTCACCCTTACATACAGTACAGCTGAAAGACTGGAAGGGGACATCAGAAGGTCAGAAATGCAGCACACGCTGGAGTAGGTAATATACAGGCTTCAGGTCCACACCACCAACTGCCCCCAATTCTCCTGTGTACCCTCAGTCTGTGTGGCTGTGCCTTAACACATACCAGTGATTCATTCCATACAAATCCATGGAAACTGTACTGTGTTTAGCACCAGGGTTACTGTGCAAACCACATAAACTCAATACATTGAGCTTCTATGAAAATATAGCTTCCCATGTCTTTGAAAACAAAGGGCTGTTCGTTATTATTTAACAAAATAATACAAGAATGATTTTATTTCTTTACCCCCTCCTCCATACTGTATTGATTAGAAATACCCATATACACAGCCAGATGAACACAAGCCTTAACAAAGGGTAAAGGATTCAAATATGTAGTTTTTGTCTAATTGACCGAGTATACATTATTTCTTTTACAATACTGACTACTACAAAACACACTTAAAAAGACACTGTTAATATTTTTCACGTACTGTGTAACAATTAATAAAGGATGTAAGACCGATCTATCAAATGAGTTCTTTCTCCACGATAAACACAGATCTATAAAACAATGGTGTTTTAACTTCTGTCCAGATATGAAGTTTTGGAGAACAACATATAAACTGGTTAAAAAAAAGTATGGTGTGTGACACATTTGTATGTTGAGAGGAAAATGGCTAATGTTGGAACCTGAGCCACATAAGTGGGAGGAGATTATGTCTGAATATTTCCTACAGTGCTAAGCAAACTAAGGCCATGTTTTAACTGTCAGATATTTGTGGCACTTACCTGGGTTTCCAGGGTGTATAAAATTTTCATCCTTTGATTAAGTAATCTCCTAATGGAAATAGTCACTGAAAAAGTTGAGTAGAACTGGAATAATCGGGGGACAACCCAAATTTTCTATCTTTGGCTATATTGCCTAAGACACTAGTATCTTAGTAAAAGAAAAAAAATGATAAATAAAATGTATTAAAATGAGAAATACACAGATCTTAGAGTTTATAAAACAGTGGATTTTATTTGAATTTACATACAGATAAAAATTTACCAAAATTTTAACACAAACCTAAATCACATTCTTTCCCACCACAAAAATGGACACTATGCAAAAAAGCCACATTCTCAATTACATTTTCCCAGATGGTAGATTCAGGGGGGAAATAGGAATGGAGAGAAGACAGTGACACTCACAGCATAATTTGATTTCAGTGTTGTCTCATCTTGAAATGACTCAATCAGAGATTTCCATAAGAATCAACCTTCAGTTCTGATGTTAAAAGAGAAACTTCTACTCCAAAATCACAAATAAGGCTTCTGGCTTCATTTTTAGTATGAGGTAAATGTATTCAATATTAAGGCAAATGGTAGGATACATGTATACGGTATTAATTATGAATCTTCCATTGTAAAATACATTTCTAAAATAAACATGTTGGAATTCAAAATAGTAAAAACTCTTGCAGTTTATAACAGCTACTTGTTTCAGTGTCTTAGCTGCACCTTTTTGATAGCAAATCTGTTGAATGTAATCTTGTCTTTTTTTTTTTTTTTAACACAGTACAAATATCACCAAAATTGCTGCAAATTGAACCAGGGCCTGATCTCAAATGCTGTATACACACACACTATTCGGCCTCGTAGATTGCTCCCCCAAATTGGCAAAACAATGGTGAGCTGACTCACTATGACAGAACATTATGAGAATGCAAGACATTAAATTAATAAAGGCTATAAGGGAAATTAAGCTGTCTAGGTATCTTATTCAAAAAAATACAGATTTAAATTTTTTAAACAAAATTGCTTTTCCCCTTCACCCCCCCGCCCCCCCACCTTTCTCCTCAGTGGAATAACCATTTTCTTCACAGTGGTGAGAGAATCATCCCTTTTTATGGGTAAGTGCACTTCTTCCAGGGGATCAGGGCAAGGCATCACTTCTTAGCTACGCTGGCCACAGCTTTCTTGGCTGCATCCTCCAGGTCGACAGCTGAAGTGATGGGGAGTCCGCTGTTACTGAGAATGTTCTGGGCCTCGTGGACATTGGTTCCTGGAAGGGAGTGGGGGGATGTTGTACAGTCACTGAGATGGAACTGAAGGTGGTGCCCCAGGAAGTTTCAGACAACCTGAAGTCGTGAGATGCCTGAGTCTCCTGTACATGCATGCATGCTAAGTTGCTTTAGTCGTGTCTGACTCTTTGTGACCCCGTGGACTGTAGCCTGCCAGGCTCCTCTGTCCATGGGATTCTCCAGGCAATAATACTGGAGTGGGTTGCCATGTCCTCCTCCAGGGGATCTTCTTGACTCAGGGATCAAACCTGCATCTCTTGCATTTCTTGCACTGGCAGGTGGGTGCTTTACCACCTGGGAAGACCACCTAATCTTCTAACACCATTTAATTACAATTCAGGTCAACTTTTTATGATCCAGATCTGGCTATTCAGATATATTTAGATGGCAAATTTATTTTTTTCCTCTTTTTAATTCAAATGCCTGGCATTAAAAAGATATTGCCTATATTTTCTCTGGCATTAAAAAAACTGAAATAATGAAGTTCTTAGAAGATTGTAAGCAAAGACTAACAACCACTTGTTCAACTAGCTTGAAAGAGGAAAATCTTCTGAAATAGATGTATCCTTTGACTGGAGAGTCAGAATATGGAATATAAAGAAAAAAACGTTGTGCACACACAAACAAGAGCACGAGGATGGTAAGGCAGAGTTTAGAACCATATGGAGCACGGCAGTAACACAGGAAGATGCTCAGGGTGAATCTACCTGGAGCTTTTCACCAGGAAGAAAATTAAAACACAGATTCTAATCAGTGCCACAGACAGGAAAGATGATGTGACAAAATCTGTATCAAGTGATAGTCCAGCTACAAAAAAAGATGAAAGAGGATTTGCAAGAGACTAAGGGACATTTTTTTCCTGATAAAAGCTAAAATTGCTGCTGGTAATCCACACACTCAAGTGAATTTAGCGTAGTTTTGGCTCCTTCCAGAAGTCCTTTGTCTTAATCTCTTGAAACAAAAGGTCTGAGTCATGAGCTAATCTGAGATCTGAAGTTAGAGAATCTGCTCACTGGCTCAAATTCACAGGCTGGAGACAGTGACAGTATTTAATGTGTCCCTTTATGCTTCATCCTCATTCTACCTAACAAAAATGGCAGATGCCATGAAAATGAGTACTGTAACCTCTGATGACATCTCTTGGCCATTTCTGGTAGATCTGTAGCATATGCAGGCCAAACCACCCCACCTCATTGTGTTCTTCGGTGACTATTTAACATGCAAAACATCACTCTGTTCTCTTCAATGTGAACAAGCCCCTGGGAGAAATGTGATAAAATTTAAGTGTCTAATGAAATATCTCATCTTACATCATCTCCAGTGCTTTTATCTAGTTAGTAAGACAGAGCCTATTTATAAACAAAAGACCTTGAAATATAGGCCTTGGAGGACCTCAGAGTACAAATAAAAAGGAGATGCTTGGTCAGCATGTTTCATACCAAAGGCAAAGGCAAGAACTGAGCTGAGAAGGTGGTATAGTACTGATTCTCCTGGCATGCTGGGTCCACCAAAGTCGTGCTGAAGCAGACACTGGACACTGTGTCTTTGGCTCAAGGCTGACTCAGGGCTGCCTTACACAGGAATCTGATGAATGGACTCCATGACAAGCAAGAACTTAAAACATAGGGAAGTTGTTACTTAAAATCCCCAGACCCCCATCCTGACTCTGTCGTGTATTAGTTGTGTAGTTTTAGATAAATCATTTAAATCCTTTGAGCATCAACTTCTTTATCCTCAGACATAATACTGTGATCATCTTCCTCACAATGAATATTGATTAAGCATATGTCAGGTACAGTGCTAAGGGATTTACATGTGACACATGAAAACTTTACAATGAATCTGGATAGGTCTGGTTGTACCTATGTCACAGATGAGATAACTGAGGCACAGAGAGATTAAAAAACTTCTCCATAGTCACACCGGTTGTAAGAGGCAGAGACGGTACTTGAATCCTGTTCTAATTATGTCCTAAAGGCATACTAGTCTATTTTCCTATCTTTAAATGAGGATAATAATGCTGGTAGCATAGGTCGCCATGAGAACCAAATGAAATAAGAGGTGTGAAAGCACTCTGTAAATGGCAGTCTCTGTGGCAGTCGTGGCTGGCTGTCTACCAAAGCTCCATGCTCCTCTGCTACAGTGGGGAGCTACTGCTGGGAAAGAGCTGCCAAACAGGAAGTGCATTTCCCAGGCCCTGTTCCAGGTGGGGGAGGGGGGCCGTGTGACTGAGTCCTGGCCAATACACTGTGAGCAGCAATGAAACACACACCCGTGAAGTTTCTTCCACTGTTACTCTCTGTATGCCCTCTGCTTTCCTTGTCTGCCTTCTGAAATGTTGCCAGCCAGAAAAATATTGGATGGCAGCTTTTTTTCAGATGACAATGACTCCCTTAGCATACAAGCTTGGGTAACCCTGCAGAGCCAAGCACCCGGCTCACTCACCCTCTCTGACTTCGTATGAATCAGAACGAAACCCCTACTATATTGCCTCTGAACATATCTGTTGTTATAGGAGTGAGCATTACATTTTTATAAAAAATTCATTTATTTTCATGTAAGGGTAATTTGTTTACAATATTGTGTTGATTTCTGCCATGCATCAACAGGAATCAGCCATAGGTATACATATGTCACAAGCATTCCTTTAATTAACACACTATTGTGTTAAGTGTGGGTGGCAGCTTCTAAAATGGTTCTCAGATGACTGACCGCTACCTCTTGGTGTTCATGCCCCTTGAGTACAGGCTGGAGCAGTGGCCTGCCTCTAAAGGAGAAGAATATAACAAAAGTGATGGAAGGTCACTTCTGAGACTAAGTCTATCACTGCGGTCTTGCTTCCTCTGATTTTCTGTTTGTTCACTCTAATGATACCAACTGCCATGCTATGGGCTATGGGCTGCCCCATGGGGAAACTCACAATGCAAAGGACTTAGGGCAGCCTCCAGCCAGCAGGCACCAAGGAACTGAGGCCTTCATTCCAACAACCATAAAGAGCTGCACCCCACCAACAACTGTGTGAGTGTGCCTATAGGCAACAACCCCCGCTCCCGTCACCCCTGCCAGGCAAGCTGCAACAGGACCCCAGTCCTGGCCGACACAGTGATTGGACTTGAGAGAGATCTTGAGCCAGAGGACGCAGCTGAGCCAGCCCTGGATTCCCCACCAAAAAAACTGTAACATGGTCAATGTTTCTTGTGCTAAGCGGCAGCTAAATTTTAGGGCAGTTTGTTTCACACTAGAACTTAACTAATGCAGATGAAAAGATCTACTATTTCATTAAGAACAACCTCAATGTGCATTTTGATTCATTTGGTAAAGTTTCAGCCAAGGTCCCAGAGGCTGAAAAGTAGGACAGGGGATCAGACTGTGGCAGGTGTTGGTACCAGGCTAAGGGATTCCAACCTTAATCTGCAGGCTTATGTATAATAGTAGTGGTACAACGTGAATCAGTCTTGACAGACAGAATTGAATCAGTCTTTGGACTAGGAGGTCAATGAAAGTTAAAGATGGAAATTTTTATCTCCTTCAACAGAGATATAGACTTAGAGCGCTCTCTCTACCTGGGCTCCAATTTGCCAAAGAAAAATCTACATTATGCTACAAAAGACTCAGAATTCTTCTTTCTTTCTCAACACACAGCTCCCCAGGTCCCCAGGCATCACCCCAAGAGGCAGTCTTCTCCGCGCGAACATCCCTCATCTTCTAATCTACTTCTCCTCGATATGACTCCTCCTATGCGTACAGGTCTCACCCACGTACACCAAGCTCTGTGTAACTGGATTGAGGGAGTTCTGCTAGGAGTGGGGCTGACAACAATAAAAGCAGAGAGCAGCCTCCGCTTCACACAGGTCATACACTGCTCTGGGGTTCTAATATTAGCTCCCCTGTTTCTCAGTAGAAACCCTGAGATAGCTGCTATTATCTTACTTTTACAGAGGAGAGAACTGAGGCACAAATAAATTAAAGGCTAGTCCAGTAAGTATGGCTAGTAATAGGAAGCAGTGGAATGAACATTCAAATAATGCTTGACACACCCATTCTGATAGCTGAATAAGTCCTTCTTATGATTTTGTAAATATATGTCATCATCATCCTTATAACAACAACAATGAAAAGTCTGGTTTACAAAGTCCTTCCACATTACTTTATTTGACCCTTACAAGGAACTCGTGTATTAGATGTTTCTAAATAAACCCATGAGTTCAGTGTTTATAAATCAGTTCTTTTTCTTTTTTTTTTAAGCCAAGAGCACTGAGGCTTAGTAACTGATTGGCAGAATTCAGTTTCAAAATCCTTTGCTTTCTGGACTCTATTTTGATTTCCCAGTGACTCCTGTTTGACATTTAAAACACGGAGCTCTTTCCCATGCATGAGATCATTGGAACCTCAATGAGGCTATAAATTATTCAAGAACAAGGATCATGTACAACTAGGATGTCTGCTCTTCTGGCTAAACCTTCTGTCCCAACAGTCCCTGCTCTATGAGGGACCATGGCATATTCTCTGCCCCAAGGCAGACCTTGACTGCTTCCAAGACACTGACTGCGCCTGACCCAAGGGCAGTCCAAATACAGACCATGGTCACCAGTCCAATTAGATTTGCTCCGTAGAGAATCTCAACCGGTGGTTTCCATGAAAGAGAAAGTGGTAGCATGAACAGGACTTCCAGTCATAAGTAGGCAGATAAGAGAAAGACCGTGCAAATACACAGAGAGTGGAGAAGTCAAGTGAAGAGACCAACGGCTCGAATGATGTTTCAGAGGTCTGCCTCCAACTCAGACCCTGCTCTTCCTTGTGGGCCAGTTTTATTACGGCCCCCACCCACTGAGAGAACTGTTGGTTCACCTTCGTTTCCATGAGCATGCATGATAACCTCCTGATAAATGGGTTGTTATTCCTTATAACCAACTAGCCAGTTCTTGACTTAGTACCCTTTTCAGCATCCAACTTGGCACCAGATATACCCAAGGGGGAAAAT